TAGTGACGAAGATGCACTGCGTGGGATGTCAACAACTGTGTGCTCAGCTGTCAGTAATGCTGTAAAGCGTGTGCTAGGCTGGTAACAAAGGCAGAAATCCTGGGGGGAGGCTGGAATGCTGCAAGGAATGACTAGAAAAAAAAAAGTGTAAGGAAATAGGGGGAAAGACAGTTAAAGGAGATGACTGAAATGGCCTGATGGAACTCAATTGGCTTACAGGTGAGTTGTGTTTTCAGATTTTATTTTTGCTAAAGGGACATCAGAGCTCTGAAGGCTGAGAGTGGTTTATATAACTTCTTCTATAAACTGAGATAAACCAACACATTTTTGATCCCAGGACATTTTGTTAATGTCATTAACAGCTTCAATCATCCTCCAAGGGAGCTGCCAAAAAACAGGAAGTTTTTTTACTAAGTTGGAGTGCCAGGTGATACTGTTTTTTCCATGAATGGAGAGAAACGTCCACTTTTCCCACTGATTGTAATCTTTTATTCATTTGTGAGGTTAAAATGAATACTACAGACATTTGTACTGCTAAGTCAATCAGTCTGTGGATAGATGTATGTGTATACTTGTGCATGTGTGGATAAAAAGGCTGAGAGAAAGAGAAGATTCACTAGTTAAGGGAACAGTTTTCTTAAAAACGTGGGGGAGAAAGGAATGTTTGTAAAAGTTCTTACAAACTCTTAATAGTAGAGTATAGACTATTTTAATGAAAATCTATATAGTCAAGCTTTTTTAAACTAATTTTTTTAAAAAATGCACTCTTTTAATCATGCCAAGATAGTACAAACATTAAGAGAATTCTTAAACCATTTAAAAAACTTATGAATGACCTCAGAATGGTCCCATTTAGCATGCCCTGGGGAATATGTGTGTGAAATACAATGTGGTTTTAGGCTTTCCAAACAAAACAAACTTAAAAGAGAATACCATTTTTAATAGAAACTATTCAAATTCTTCCAAAAGATAAAAGAAAACAAAAAGAGGTACGCACTGTACTGCAGCTAAGTATGCAAGAACAAAGATCTTTGCTGATTAAGTGAGGAGATGTAAGGTTGACTTTTTTTTTTTTCTTTGGAACATTGCCCTCCCATTTTCACGTTGTAATTTCTTTAATTAAATGCTCTTTAATTAAATGGCTGGCATATATAAGAAGCAACGAGACAACTCAGAAATACGGGCAGTTGAATAAATTGTTGTCTGATGATGTTTTACCAGATTAATTCCATTCATATTGATGAATTTTACTATATGAATGTTGCCAGCCGAAAATAAAACGAAAACCATGCGGTGGTACTTTCCCCATGCCCCCCCCAGCAGTTGCAGTCATACCACACAAGTCGAGTACATCAGGTGTAAGACATCACCCCGATGCATCACTTCTGAGAAATATGGGGAGGGAAATAATCGGAGCTGAAATATCACAGCTGGCCCTGATTTCAGCTCCTGCCAAACACCTGCAGACTCTAAAAGGATACCATAACAAAACTCCACCCTGTGGCAAGAGGCCATCCCTTAACAGCCCTTCCCTGACTTTGCATCACTATAAAAATTAATTTAACATTTTTTACAGAAACCTTAGTCTTCCTGTCCCAGAAGGCCATTACAGTTCCTTTAGCATTTCTCTGAGTATGCTTCAGAAAAAAAAAAAGTCACAGTAAATTGAGTATTGAAATGTCTGATAGCTGGAAATTATTGGATGTTTTAAGTTTATTATTTGTGGAAACTTACGAAGGTGGTAGGTTTTCTTATTAACCTCCAGATTGGCTCTTATTTTGGAAGTAATTTCATTTGAATGCATCCTGGCAAAAATTTCCTAGCATCTGGTAAAAGCTTCTACGTTCAGTATTGCGAACACATAGAACAGCAAAAGTTATAAAATATGTCGGATGTTTTTGTTTTGGGGTGTTTTTTTCTTTTTGAATCATGTTATGTGTTTTTGTTGCTGGTTTGGATTTTTTTTATGTTTGGTTGTTTGGTTTTTTTTTTTTAATATGACTGTATTTTAATTGTTTTTCTTTGTTGAAATAGACTTTTGTGGCCTACTAAGGGCTGTCCCGAGACGAATGAAATTATATTCATGCCCGTAATACTGCAGGGAGCTTTTTTACATGTAGAGGTTTCTGCAACTGAAAGGCAGCTGATTGAAGGCCTGAGGTAATATGATGTGTCTGGAAGTAATTCCTAACAGACAAGAGAGAGGAATTAAATTTTGCATGTGTCTATTAAAGAAGTACTAAAACTGGTTGGAAATCTTAGGATGGAATGTTTTTACATTTTAAAAATGCCAATTCATTGAAAGTGAAACATCCGGATGAATGTGGCTAAAATTAAGTTGTGTTTTGAATCAGAAATTAAGCTCTATTCCTGCCTGTCTTGCTGAGTTGAAAATGTGCACTGCCTAGCTTTGATTTGGTGTTTCAAGCCAACTTTTTACTTCAATTTTTAAAATCTACACAACCAAAAAACTCCACACCACCAGCCGTACCCAACCCTTTAATTTTGTCAAGTGTAGCTCTTTTGTACTAAATTACAAACATTTCCAAGCTTTTGGTCTGTGGGAAATTTATAAAAGTAGATTCTGTTCTAAAGCAGAAAGGATTAAGAAATGGAACGTAGTTTGAAGAAGTGAAATGGAAAATCCAGTTCGAAGACTGTTTGTAGTATGTGATTCTCACATATACAAAATTATGCAGGCTTTATACGTATTATGAGGCAGTTCTATATCCAGATGTTATAGG